AACTTGTGTGGTAGAAATTTCCTTCTTTTTGTCTAACTAACGAAAAGTGTGGCATTCTGCTTTCTGTGGATACTCTTATGAAGTTGAGAGAGCAAATTTAATGTTGCCTACATGAGTACCTGAAAAACTACAAAGCGCTCACTGACCACAAACTTTACATGTTGCTAACTGTAGAAACATCTACTATTGTCAGGTTATTTCATAGAAATGCATGGTGGAATTAAAAAAAAAAAACTGACTATAATCTTCCAAAAGGCTGCAGGTTGATAGCTTTTCACAGAGGTAGTTTTTCATCCCCTTAGTATCTTCTTTGCAAACACTGAGTAGGGGAGTTCTGGGAACCTTGAGTCAGTGAAAAAGCAGAACTGCAAGCCCTTCTGGAAATGCTGTTATTTTCTCTGTTTGCTTGGTGAGATGCCCAACATATCAGGAAAGGGATGAAGCCATCCCACCTCTCATAATCATGAGTCATAAACAGGTAGCAGGCGGGGATGCATAAAATAAAACTGGTTTTGATTTTGCCACGGGCCATTGGGGGTGGTTAGGTTCTGAGTCAGCCTCCCACTGGCTTCCAGTTCACTGAGGTTGTGTTCTTGAAATCACTTTCCATACGGAAGCTACCAAATTACCTATCACTTTACTCCACTCATGGGAGTAATACCCAATATATCTAAGTTTCATTTTCTAAAGTCCTTTGCCCTTCAGCCTTCCCTTGCTCCCTCCCACGTCCAGGAAGAGCATCAGAAACCAGGTGGGAACAGCCAGTCCCGATCCAGCTTCTAAACTGTACTGTACGATGCACACAGAAGGCTTCAGACCACCCATCACATGGAACTGGTTCTTGGATTCATTGTAGAAATCTACTCTGTCAGTGGTTTTCAGTCCTGGCTACATGTTAGAATCATCTGGGGAGTTCTTAAACAATATGCTGACACCTGGCCCTTCACCCCAAGATGCTGTTTAGTTGGTCTGGGTGGGACCTGGGCATGAGGACTTTTTAACGTTCCCAGGTGAGCCTGATCTGCAGCCATGAGATGCACCGCCTTCATGAATACCTAGAGAAGATGTTTCTTTCAGTTGTCGGGAGGGAAGCCTTCTTTCTTCTGAAACAACTGGTGTGCTCATCCTCACGGATGTGAATCTTGTAAATGGCTTCTTTCCATTTAATCTTACGATTCCAGAAAGCTTAGACCCAGTTTATGACATAATGCTAGGAATCAGGGGAGGTCGATTTAGACTGCACATCTGCATATTAACATTTGCCCTGGTTTGCTCTATCTGTGCTAGCTCTACTTTATGACTCTGGTTTTATTCTTCTTTCTTAATCATTAGAAAAGCAATGTATTAAATTCATATGAGTTTAGAATTCTCAAATATTTTATAAATGAGGTAAAATAAAAACAAATGAACAAACAACTATGTCAATGCTGCTATTGCTAAATTTCATTTTCCTCATCTATAAAATTGAGAAAACATCAATGTCAGGACAATAATTGTGAGTATCAAGTAAGAGTACACATATGACAGTGCTTAGCAAACAGTGTCATACAGTATAGTGTTTATTTGTTTTAGAAAGTCGTGTGTGAATGTGCATGTGCGCATGCGTGTGTGTGTGCGTGTGTGTGTACATATGTGCGTGTGTGTGTGTGTCTAAGTAAGTAATCTGTCATCTTTGGGAAATAAACACTTCAAGGTCAGGAATTACATTGCCCTTGACTCACAGCATGTGGCTATTTAAGGAGTAAACAACCCAATCCGTCAGCTCGGGACAGAAATGTCACCACTGCAGCTCGTGTGACTTGAGGTATCCTTTGACAAACGAATAGCTTTCAGATATTTCAAATTAATGTCCTTGTTTGGTTCAACTAAAGGGCAATGAATCCAA